CACCTGAGAGATAGTCGTGCATGAACGCAACCAGCAAGTTGTTTCCATCACGCCACTTTGCCCAATGTCCTCGAGTTGCTGGGTTGATTGTAATGATAGGAATCGGTTCAACAGATGTATAAATTGGTCAGTGAGAGTAAATGTGATAAAATCCAACATTTGGAAGACTAAAGTCGACACCAGTAGAAAAACTAAAATCTTTGAAATGCTTTCCTGGCAGTCCCACCTTATGACTCACTTCAACATTTGTCTTTTGGTGGGCCACTTCCTTTGGGGTTTGTCATAACTTTATTCAAATTAGCTTTCAGTTGCAACTTTTGATTTGTCTCTGTGTCTACAAGGAGGTTGCTTTTATTAAAAATGCAACACAGGAAGCATTTAGTATCTCAAAATGTAATTACATTTTTTTTTTTTGGCCTAGAAGGAATCAGCCCAATTTAAGTTTTATACAAACAGCAAAAGTAAACCCTGGATTTTAATGTTTCCTACAAGTATAAATCATTTTAGCAGCAGAGAAAATGCTGCTGCATTCCTTTGCAATGCACTTAATAAAGACAATTTGAACAATGTTGTCCTGTGCTATTCAGCTTGTAAAATATGCTAGTAAAATATTGCTAGCATATTTTACTAGCATGTAGTAGCTAGTATGCTAGCATATAGTGGCTAGCATACTATATGCTAGCAATTTAAATAAGTAGAAACGCAACGTCTAACAAAATAAGAAAGGTAACAAACACCCAAAAAGACATACATATGTACAATTATCTGACAATAAACAAAAATTTTAATTTTACTTTAAAATTTAATAGGACAACTGTACCAGCTGTGAATGATATTGTGTACAGCTCTACTGCGGGTTTATTAAAGCCACGACGATTTTATTCACATTTATATTAAATTCACAGCTTTAAAATGTGCAGCACAAAGAACAAAATGAACTTAAATGAATATATTGACAGTCATTATGCAGGATGAACAAAGAGCTCGTTAAGTGTTTAATTAAATAAATGCCTTCTAAGTACATTTGCATCATTTTCACTACTAAATCAAATGTTGTCGAGGAGAAAAATTATTGAACAATAAATGGTAGAAATGGAATATGTTCAACATCCATGTGTTGAAAATTTACAAAAGAGCTTTTGGAACCGTTGCTATGAACTTGCTCTGCATCACATGCCGGGGCTCAGTGTGAAACCTATAAATAACCAAACCCATATCTAGATTTGAGAGTAAAGTGGGTTTCGCATGACAGGTTTTTTTTTTTTTTTCTGTAATACTCTTTCTCTCCCGTCTGCTGTCGCTCATCTCTGGTCTCGGTGGCGTTACAGGAAGCTCTCTGTGACTGGTTGATGAGCTGCTTCCTGTTTTGAAGCGGTTTTGAAGGCTTGTCTTGCCATGTGTGAGAAAACACAGAACGTCTGTGATGCAGACGTCTCGTGCAAAGAATGGGCGGGAATGAAACCTGAGTTATGTCTGTGAATGGAGAATGATCTTGGTTGTGTTTTTTTTGTTGTTGTTATTATAACTTCTGCTTTCGCGTTGAAGTGGGAAAATAAAAATGATTTCACTCTGTTCAAACTGTTTGCTGGCGAATGGTTGACCTTTAATCTCATCTAGTGAGGGTTATTTATTCAGACCAAGAGACGGTGTCGTGCGTTTGAGCTTTCTCACTTTCAGGATGTTTTTTTTTTTTTTTTTTTTTTAAAGTTGTAGTTTCAACTGAGGTTACCATAAGGGCCGTGTCTGATACCTGAATCCTGACTGCCAAGTGCAGCAGACATGGGGTCAGCAGGACATATACCCTGCGTCAAAAATACGGTATTACACAATAATACACACAGTTAACAAAAAGTTTAGAAAAGGATAGTTCAGTTATTCTTGATCTGAAAAACTAATTTTAGAATAGGCACTCACTAATTTTGTCACATGTCTTTAAGTGCTTATTGCACAGGATATTCAATACTCTTTATAGTACAGCCTGTTCATATTACCTGGTTAATTAATTAATTTAGTTTTGCAAAAGGGTGTGAATCAGACATGCTGCTCCCATCTTGTAGAGTGAAAGTAGTGTTACCTTAATGTGGCGTACAGGCAGTGCTTTGTTGGATCTTTAGGCTAAACGAGATAGCATTTTATCACACCTAAATCAAATTGGTTAAATCTGATTAGTTTGACCACATTTATGCATGTAAACTGGATCTGTTTTAAGTCCAATGAATTTAAATAATCTAATTGCCTGACATCCATCAAACTCCATGATTTTTACTCCATGTAATATTTCCAAGCTGCCAAATTTGACTTTACAATAAAGCAAGGCAAAGGTGCAGAAGCTTTCTTTTAGCCAGCTGGCAACAGGTGGGGGTGGGGCTGAAATGGATCCCCCCCTATGCTCCGTACAGTTGTATTCTGAAACGTGTAATCGATTCGACCTGAAGCAGAACGGCATGATGGAACATTATTGCGGTTTGGAAACGGCGTCTTCTTGTAGCGTTGATGCACACTGATACCCAAAGCCGGCTCACATCTTGGCAGCTTGTTTAGAAATCGTATCCTTTACCTCTGCAGGATTTCCATCCTATTACTTATTAATGCAGGACAGTGTGTAACCCACTTGTCAGATGGTTGGACACCGCCGGAGATGGAATTACTTGTGCTGTTTTTCTGCTGGGTAATGAATGCTTGGTAATGGAGCCACAGAGGTGGCGTTCTTCAAAATGCACGCGAAGAGGAGCCGTGGATTAAAACTGACCTTAATCTCCCTCTTGCCAGCAACGCAGAACTGAAAAATGAAAAAATGGAAATTAAAAAATATTTGAATGGTGGTGGAGCCGTAAAAACTATGTAGAGGTTTGTGATTTTAATTCGAATGGGAGTTTTCCCTCCGATTATTATGTGGCTTAAAATTAAGTGGGGCTAACTTGTTAAAATTAAGTGGGGCTAATTTGCAGAGCATCACCCCGATTAGCTTTTCACACGTCTCTTTAAATTACTCTTGTACTTTTTTTCCCCCCCTACTTTAGAGCAGAAATTAGAAGTGCTGCTGAGGCACTCTGGCAGGATTTTTAACGAGCTGAAAACCCATCGGCTCGTTTACGGGTCGTGGCTTCACATTGCTAATGTGTTAATGCGAGGCTTGTTTTGGGTTCGGAGAGTTGGAAAGTGACAGAATCCCTCCTCCTCTCCATCGCGCCTCAATTAAATTGGCGGGTGGAGGAGGGAGAGGGGATCCTCAGCTCCAGCCTGTCTGTCTCTCCATCACACCCTAAAGGCCCAGGCAGGTATATATTTAGAGTGCAGTCGTCACACTGAACCCTCTAAATGTTGGGAGCGCTTCTCCTTTGCAAAGGTTCAATTAACTGTGTGAGAATCAGTGATGCTGCTGGGCTGCCGTTCCCTCTGTTTTTTTTGGGGGAGAAGAGTCTCGTCCTTCTCATCTTAATTCACGTCCTTCAGATGAAAAGCGGCTCTGACCCACCCCTCTCCTCTTTTTATCTGTTGTCTCTTGTAGCCTTTCACATCCCCTCATGCTTCTTTCATATTAACATCTCTCTCATGTCTCTTTTATTTTGTTTTTACATGAAAGGCACAAGTGTTCTCGAGGTGAATATGAAGCCCTATTTGAATGAAACCAGAGTTATGATGATGATGAGGGTGCCGCCGAGTGTCCACAGATGTTTACCCTAAACAGGAGAACGCATTAGGCTGATTTATGCTGGTCTCGTTCGCCTCCTCAAAAAGTAGAGCGACGTGTCAGATCGTCAACCGGCGACTTGTCGAGTAACCCAGATGTTTAGATTAAAAAAGTCACTGTTTTTCTTTTTCTGGGTCGGCATAACGCTTGCAATGTTTTGCATCCCTCCGAATCCATGGGAAGCAAAAATGTAGCAAAGAATTCACTTGATTGCAATGAAACTTAAACATTTTCTGGCAGATTTCAGTCTGTGTGATCGCCTCTGAGTTCTTGTCAGGAAGAATGGGCCAAAATTTCACCAAATTAATTATGGGAAGGTTAAGGGAGGTATCTAAAAATATTATTGCTTAAAAGGACCATTCTAGCAAATTTGTCAGCTTCTGAATTGAGGTTAAAATATATATTTTTGATAAATCACTTGCTGGCATCTAGCAAATGAAAAATTTCCTAGTCCTAACTAACCTAATACAGAAAAACAAAAGTTTTTAGTGCATATAAACATGTCATCTAATTTCAGGTGTTCCACTTAGGGGGAAAAAAAAAACATTTAAGGGAATGTGTAGGAGCGCTAAAAGTGATACAAATCAGAATGTAACTGATTCTAGTTCCTTTTTATTTAAATTTTGGTCTTTCGAAAAGCCTTAGTGAACCACATTTTTGCAGTGAAAGAGCGGTTCTGTGTTTTGCTACACCCTGTCCTACCTGCTCTCCCGATGTAATTACATTACCCTGCTTATCCAGTCTCAAACTAACTCTACTTAGCACTTTGATTTGATTACTTCTGGACAAATGCAGCCGCAATTAAATAATTTTTGCCCACATACTACATGCTCTTATCCGTTAGCGCGGGGCTCTTTGCGTGGGCGATGTCTATTAAGTCGATAAATCAAAAGGACGAGCTGTGATGGCGAGCCCGGATAAACGGATTGAGCGTCGTCGTGGATGGGGCAGAATTAGAATGCTGCGGCCTGCTGCCTCCCGTCTAGTCAGGTTTGATTAATGGACTAGTTTTGAAGGGCAAGGGCAAATGAAGGCTTTTAGCATGGCATTAGAAAAAAACACAAAAAAAACAATAACAGACCGGCATGAGAAAGCCAAATAATCTGTATGCTTGTATAAGCTCGTGGTTTTTAATCCCTTGAACTCCATTGTGTGGTTTAAAAATGTCATAAATAGGATGGGAATAGTCTTTAAAGTAATGACTGATTGTCTTGATGTCTCTGTTTAGGCAAAAAATTTTCATAAACTTATTGCCATATCTCCTCCCCTGCTTGTCCCATCCTTTCATCCCTCCCTCCTTCCTGTTCAGGATGGCTCACGTGCCGGTCGGGAGAAAAAGAAGACTGTGTCCTTCAGCAGCAGCCTGGCGGAGAAGAAGATCAGCAGCGCTGCCGGGTGTATCCACTCCATGGTGCGTCTGCAGCTGTGTGACCTTCCGAAAAAAAATAAAAAAATAAACAAGAGTTACACGACTGTACATGAAATATTTAATGTTCCACACACGCATCAAGGGCTTTCCGTTTTGTCAAACACCCGACAGAGCTTGTCAACAGAGTTTGGGAGCTCATGTGAGTGACGGTCGCTTTCATGTCCCGTCTTCCAGGTCGAAGGCAGCGAGCTGAAAAAAATCCGCCCCAACTCTCGTGTATATCAGCGTTACTACCTTCTGGACGCGGGCCTGCAGGCTCTGTTCTGGGAGCCGTCCAAGAAGGAGTCGGACAAAGCGCGGATCTTTCTCGACTCGATACGCGAGGTGAGTTTGTTTTGCTCAGAGTGCAGCAACAGATCATCGGACCATCAGAGCAGCCCTCCCTGGCCTTTCCTTTATACGTGACCTTTGACTGTTTTTCAAGCTTCAGAGATATTTACAACCTTTTTGAGGGCAGCAGTTATTTTGGTTTATATGGCGTCTGACGTGAGGTTTTATGAATCACAAATTCCAGGTCCGGACAGGTCGTAACACGGAAACCTTCCGCACCAGTGGAGTTTATGAGCAAATTTCGGAGGACTGTGCATTTTCCATCATCTACGGAGAGATGTACGAGAGCTTGGACCTGGTGGCCAACTCTGCTGAAGTGGCGAACATTTGGGTGACTGGTCTAAGGTAAGGCAAGACGGACAACTGAAAGCAGATTTGGCACTTAAACTGTACAAAACTCATCGATAAACTTACTATGTAAGCCTCAAGGTTTGTGAGACATAAAGTGGACTTTGAAGGTTCTGAAATGAAAAAAGTCATTTCAGAACCTTCAATGTATCAAATAGTTTAGAATTCCAAAGGGAAAGTTTGGCACAAAACCACCACTGAGCATCTCCAGAAAAATACCACAACGAAATATGGCCATGAATGCATCATGCTCTGGGATTATTTTCAGATGGAACAAGGCTTTTAGTCGAGGTGGTTAAAATCGGGAACTAAATGCAACTAAATGAGTCATTTTTGACCCAAAATCTTCAGGTGATTGGACAAATGTCAGAACCTCGGAGGAACTGTATCTTTCGAGAAATCAGAAAGTAGTCTGCAGAAAGGACAAAAGACAATCTACAGTGGATGAACAGTCTCTGAAGGTTGTGTCTCATCGAGTAAACTATATCAGAAATGAGTAAAAAAAAAAAAAAAAGTCTCATTAGAGAACCGACTCAAGATATGTGCATACTGCTGCATGTTCTAGGGTTTGGCTTGCTTTTTCCAGTGGGTCAAATCAGGAGTTTTGGTGGGTTACTCTACTGGCCTATTCGTCTGAATTTTGCCTGTTTTAAAAGCCACTGCCATTGATCAAGATTGGCATTCAAGCAAATTCTCAGCCACGCGTCTCTTGGAAAGTTGGGGGTGGTGGGGGGGGGGATTGTTTGTTTTCCTGAAAACAAAGTAATGTCTCCTGTTAGATAATCGGCGCTCTTCCATCTCTTATCTGCTTCTAGGTATCTCATGCAGTACGGCAGACACGCCCTCGACATACTGGCCAACAGTCAGGACAGCCTTCGCCTTCACTGGCTGGAGCAGTTGTTTTCCTCTGCCGCCGATCAAAATAAACAGGAAGTCATCGAGGAGGGGATTCCCTTGCAGTCGGCTGTTAAGTTGGTACAAAGCGTGAATCCTGGAGTGAGCAGCGGTAAAGTGGAGCACAGGTTTAAGGAGATCCAGAGACTCCGGGAGAAGACGGGCAATGAATCGGGCTCTAAAGACCACGCCGAAAACGAAAAGCCGTCGGCGAGAAAGGAGCAAGTGACCAAGCAGGAGTTCATTGAGGTCTTCCATGACTTTTGCACCCGTCCAGAGATCTACTTTCTGCTGGTGCAGTTCTCCAGTAACAAAGAGTACCTGGATGCAAAGGACCTGATGAGGTTCATAGAAGCTGAGCAGGGCGTGGCACAAGTGGGTAACATGAAACGATGCATAATTTCAGAAAACAGGTCAAATGTAAAAATGTTCCTTTTTCTTGGATGACAAGCTCTTGGTCTAAGACTTTTATTCCTCCTTGTAGTCTGTAATTTCTCCATTTATTTCTCGGTCTTAATTTTTTTCTCCATCCAGGTGAGTGAGGAAATGAGTCTGCAACTCATCCAGGCCCACGAGCCGTCAGAAGAGGGTCGGCAGCAGGGACACCTGTCACTGGACGGCTTCACCAGCTACCTCACTTCGTCAGAGTGCCACCTGTTCGACCGGGAGCATGACGCCATTTGTCAAGACATGTCCCAGCCTTTGTCTCACTACTACATCAACTCCTCCCACAACACCTACCTCATCGAGGACCAGTTTCGAGGTCCCTCCGATAAATCCGGTTACATCCGTGCCCTGAAGATGGGCTGCCGCTGCGTGGAGGTGGACGTTTGGGACGGCCCCGACGGGGAGCCGGTGGTGTGCACGGGTCACAGCCTTTCCCGTCCACTGGCTCTGCATTCTGTGTTGGAGGCAATTGCAAAGTTTGCGTTTGTGGCGTCGGAGTACCCGTTAATTCTCTGTGTTGAAAATCACTGTTCGCTGCAACAGCAAAAAGTTTTGCTGCAGCATCTCACAAGGATATTGGGGGATAAACTGTATAGAGATCTACCAGCTGAAGGGGCTTTGTACCTACCGTCGCCAGAGGAACTAAGACATCGAATCCTGCTGAAGGGTAAAAAGCTCGGGCCAGATTCAGATGGGGAGGTGAGCGAGGAAGATGAAGGAGCAGAAATGAGCCAAAGGATAAAAGTGGTAAATGCTGGCGGAACCGAGAAGGACGTTGTGCAAAAAAGTGTCTCTCTCACATCTGTCCCTCAGTCCAACATGCCTCATCCTTCCCCCAAACGTTTCCAGCTGTTGCGGGAACTGTCCGACTTGGTAACTCTATGTCATTCAGTTGGCTTTAAAGATTTTAAAACTTCCTCTAAGGCTCAAAAGCCTTGGGAACTGTGCTCTTTCCACGAGTCCCTGGCTTTGCGTCTGGCTGGCGACAGCCCTGGGGACTTCGTCAATCACAACAAGCATTTCTTGTCTCGAGTCTACCCCAATCCCATGCGCATTGACTCGAGCAATATGAATCCCCAGGACCTGTGGAAGTGCGGCTGTCAGATTGTGTCAATGAATTTTCAGACGGCAGGACTGATGATGGACCTGAACACGGCCTGGTTCCGGCAGAACGGGAGCTGCGGTTACGTGCTGCGTCCGGCCATCATGCGGCAGGAAGTGTCTTACTTCAGCGCTGACACCAAAGACACTGTACCGGGCGTGTCGCCACAGCTGCTGCATGTAAAGGTAGAGCATAAATCATTAAATAATAAATTATTATTATGTGCTGGAAATGATTGAGATGCTAGCATCCAGTTTCAAAACATTGGCAAATTTGTTGATCAAACTACATTAAAAGTAACAAATATTAGGGAACTTGAATAAGAGCTAGGGTGTGCTTGACAGTCAAAGTATGAACTTTACAGACTGTATCAATTTCAGTTGCATTATTATAACATTGTATGTTTGTAATGGATAACAGTGTTAACTTTCTGGAAATTACAGGGGAATTTCCTGAAACTTACAGATTACTTTTCAGAAATGCTTATGGAACCCTACAGGGTACTTTTCTGTACTTTTATGAGGTAGTTTTTCATAAGTTATTTGTACGTTTGGACACCTGTCTTTTTAAAGTAACCTCAAAGTTCAGGTGTGTGCAAAAACACAAGCCACTTTGTCCTCTAAACTAATAAGTTACAGGAAAGTAACGTGCACATTCCTGATGGTACCATGTTACGAGTTACCTAATAAAACAATTAAAGTGAACGGTAAGTTATAGAAACTATTCCCAAAATTCTGGAAAGCACCACAGAGAATTTGAGTCGCTTGATGATGCAACTTAATTTCCAAAAGTATCATTTCAAGTTCAAGGAGCGTTACCTCTAAGCTCTGGAAAGACTCACTGGAGTTCAGAAAATGGTCACTTTGTAAATCATCTCATATTACAGCTTGATGTCTAGAAATGATGACTGTAATTTCCAAAACGCTTATCTAATTAAAAGTAAACCTAAAATGTCAGATGGTAATAATTTAAGGAGAAATTACCAAGTTAAAAGTCAGTTCTTCTCTTTGCCAACCCTGTCAAAAGTTACTAGTCAGTTCCAGGATTGTAATTGTAATCTTCTAGTTCTAGAAAGTCCCATGTTACAACTCACCTCGTTGTAGGTAAAGAATGGGCTGCGTATGTGTTGCTACCATGTGGGCACTAAAAATGATTGGTGTTTTTCTTCCAGGTGATCAGTGGCCAGAATCTGCCCAAACCAAAAGGTTCTGGGGCCAAAGGGGACGTTGTAGACCCATACGTGTACGTGGAGATCCATGGCATCCCAGCCGACTGCAGCGAGCGCCGCACCAGGACGGTGAGGCAGAACGGGGACAACCCCATCTTTGACGAGAGCTTCGAGTTCCAGATCAACTTGCCAGAGCTTGCCATGGTTCGTTTTGTGGTGTTGGACGATGACTTCATTGGGGATGAATTCATAGGTCAGTGTGCTGGGTCTATTATTGGAAAAGGAAATCTCTTAATTGTTCATATCCGTACAGCAAACAAAGAGGGTTTTTTTTTTTTTTTGGGTGGAATGTGATCTAGTACAAAAAGGTTTTATTAGTGCACATAAAACAGGATGTGATGCAACCAGATGTGGAAATACCTGTTTCCGGTGGCAGTACTGTGGGAAATGTTATTGTTGTTGTTGTGTAGATGTCACAACCACAATACGTCCAACATGCTATGTGAACAGAAAGAAACATTCAGGTTAGCAATGACCAGCTTTTGCTTTGTGACGCTGCAATTAAAGTAGTTCTCAACCACTGCAGGCCAGTATACTATACCACTGGAGTGCCTCCAACCTGGCTACCGACACGTGCCCCTCCAGTCCCTCACTGGGGAGGACCTTCCACACGCCAAGTTGTTTGTACATGTGGCCCTCACAAACCGGAGAGGAGGTGGAAAACCTTACAAAAGAGGCCTCTCGGTACGAAAGACTCGAAAAGGGAGGGAGTACACAGCTCTGAGGGACTTGGGAGTTCGGACTGTCGACGAGGTTTTCAAGATGGCCGCCCCTCTTCTGAGAGAAGCGGCAGACTTGAGAGGTAACATGCAGGTGAGGAAACAATTCATGGAATATGTGCTTCAATGTAAGGCTTAGATAAAACATCTCAACAAATGTACAGACTGCTTGTTATCTGTAGAGCGGTATTTCTGACATAATGGAGTGTTGAAGATATGTTTCAGATTAACAGAAAAAAAAAAAAGAGAACAAAGGTCGGCTGATAGCAGAGGAGTCCTAAAGACTGGTGTGACTGGATTCCAAAAAGGTTTTATTTAGGAAATCTTCAATATCAATCTTCATCTCGCATCTTTCAGTTTTGTGGAAAGCAGCAAGCAGTGGAAGCTTTTCAGCAAAATCTATGTGCAGAAAGCCGTGTAGATAACGTGAACTATCTGACCCTTTTTACTTCTACTCAACAAAGCAAGTTAATATCATTTTAAGACTTGGTCATAAATGGATTTGAAAATAATAAGAAATTGGAACAAACTACAGGAAGAAGCTTTAAATACCAGAGGCCCCTGAGTCCAATTTCAATTCAGATGAACTGGAAGGGCCTCACTTGGAAGATTTCCTGTCCATGTGACTCTGCTAATCAAGTCACCTCTGCTCACTTTTTTTTTTTAATCAAAGCTTAACCACTTATAATTTAAGCAGAGTCTGACAATGGCATAATTTGCAGTGAAATTAGATTACGTCTTTCTGCCAAATCAAACACTAGCCAACATCAGCATTGGCGTCAACACCACCCGAAAGCAAAACGTGGAACGTAATGACCTCGTGTGTCCCTGTAGAAGATTTACACCAGTCGGGCTTTTAATGGCCGACGCAGATTTCCGGTCTGTCTTTAGGTTTTTCAGATTTTCTTTCTGAAGACTGTAAAACTTACAAACTAATTCGAGTAAGTGTTCTCTTAAATCAGCCATGAAATGTGGCAAACATTAATCGATGTGTTACAGATCTCCATCGGTCAGAGCCGATGAAGGTCAAAGTGGCCAGTTGTTAGTTCTGCGCCATTTAAAGCGAAGCCACAGTTTGTCCACTGCGAACCAGTCGGTTTCTTTAATCTTGCCTTTAGCTTCGGCTTTACTCCACCATTAATCACTTCAATACACTCATAAACACATACAGTTCAGTTTGGTAATTATTCAGCAGAATCAATATTCACTCCAGTGTGAAATATTATTCAATATTCCTTTTCAAAACGTACTTCATGAGCCAGTCAGTCGGTTTGGTCTGTAAGTGCCTGTATTAATTATGCCAAGTAAACTGTCACTAATACGAGATTGCCGGTGTTCACGCCGTTCGGTTTCTTTCGAACCTCCGCAACACTGCTGCGGCAGGAGAATAAATGATTTCTGAAAGGAAAGACAAACTGCTTTGTGGAGAAAATAAATCAAGTCGGTAACGGGAAGGAGGGGAAAAAAAATCTCACAATTATCCCGGGTTTATTTGTTTTGATACTTTCTACAAATTATGTTGAGTTTCTGTCAGCCCACAGAAATACAACTGAAACCAGATGTTTACGTGTGAAACGTATCACACACTTGTGATATTTATATCAGGCTAAAAATGTCTTCTTTTTTTTCCCCTTTTTTTTTTTAGATCAAATAGGATACAAAATTATTTATATTCTCTAAATACTTAAATAATAAGACTTTTTTTGTTGTTTTTTTTCTCAGAACTCCGTTGCAGTATTCAGGGAGCTGTGTGGGGTGTCGGCTGTGGCCAACCTCATGCAGTGTGTGCTGGCCCTGGGCTCCAGAGTGTCGGGCCCAGAGGGGACCCCGTTACTGCTGTTTGACCTGAGAGATGGCTACCCCACGCTGGAGCCCCAGGGGCCCCTGCCGGACGTCCTGCGCCGAGTCGTCTCTACGTACGATACGGTGAGGAAAGAATGAAACTTGGAAAACGTGTGATCAGAAATGAAAGGGGGAAAAAAAGCAAATGACAAGAAATGGCATGCGAGTCGCATCCCTCCCCTCTGACTCTTTGACCCGACAATCAAACGCTTCCTTTTTGAGGCAGCTAGCTTCGAAGTACAAAGTGAGCTTTCATTGTCGCGTCGCAGACAACACCCACCACCCTCCGTTTGTCTTCAGCTTGCCGG